AAAATGCTCTGTCTCTTCTCTTCAGCATTTTCAACTTGATTTAGGATAAACATTCCTTTCCAAGGATTTGGCGTGAAGCAATTGTTATTCCAATCCCTAAAGAAGAAAAAGACAGAACAATTCCTTCAAGTTACCACCCAATCTCGCTCACAAGCTGTGTGTGAAAGCTTTTAGAACGAATGGTAAACAAACGTCTGGTCTGGCTCCTAGAGCAAAGACATTTGTTTACACCTTTTCAATGTGGTTTCAAGAAGCACAGGTCAACCATGAACCACTTTCATCCTTTCCACTGAGATCTCCACTGCTTTCGTGCTACGACAACACTTGATAGCAATGTTTTTCGACATAGGGAAAGCATATGGCATCACCTGGAGGTACGGCATTCTTCGCACCTTGCATTCTTGGAGCTCCCTTCGTTTCTAGTAGATTTTCTTTCGTCAATATTTTTCTGCGCCCGCCTTGCTGACACATTATCCTCAACTCACCAGTTAGAAAACGACGTTCCCCAGAAGTCAATTCTGAGTGTAACTGTGCCATTGCTATCAGTAGTATCGTATCAGTTATCCGAGAGCATGTGAAGGCATCGCTCTTGGTTGATGACTGGCATACCCTGCTTCTCGAAGAATATGCAAGTTATTGAGAGCTACAGCTTGTCCTCAACAAATTGCACGAATGGAGCAATAAAACTAGATGCAAGTTCTTCACCTCAAATTCCAGTTGCTTCTGAAGAATACATCACCTCCATAATCATCCTGATCTTTTTTAGGGGGGTCATCAACTTCCCCTCGTCGAATCTGCCACTTTCCTTTGCCTGACATTCGATGAGAATTTAACATCTCGAAATCACATTCAAAACTCGAAGACCCGCTCTGTATCGCAGGTGAACTTCCTACGCACCCTTACTGGTAGATCATGGGGCGCAGACAGAGTATGTCTTTTGCGCCTAGGACTATCATCCGTCCTATCTTAGATTATGAATGTATTCTTTATGGGTCGGCGACTCCATCGACCCGCCGGTCATTGAATACCGTACACAATACCGGTATACGAATCAGCATTGGCACCTACCGCACGAGTCGCATTGAATTGGCCGAGGCTGGTGAACTATCCCTGCGCCGAAGGCGAGATATTGTAATCGGCTCCTATGGTGCGAAAGTATCACATAGAGGAGAGATACATCTAGAGTGCTCGTAAAACCTACTGCGCAGGTTTCAACATGCGGTGGCCGCAAGTCACGTGACTTTGGGACACCGGTAGCTTGTGTTGCGTTTTATTGTACATTGTATGTATTACCTTGTAAGGCATGTAATACCTTTGCGTGCTGTTTGTTTTTTCTGGTGTTGCGGCGTAATTATTTGGGGGCGTTTTGGAGATTTGCTTACTGCAAACGATCCACACGTGTTTGAGCTTTATTAAGAACCATGGTTCAGTATTGTTGTTTTGGCTGCAACGTGCATTGAACCTGCATTGAACTGCATCCTGAACTGTGCATTGAGGTGCCAATTGACCATATGTACTTGCCATCAGTAGACAATCTTGAAACTAGATTGTCTCCCTACGTTGTGGACATTGTAACGTATATTGGAGGATTTGTAGTAAAGAAGTTGGAAATGTCACTTGCTTGTGTTGACTGTAAGATTTGCCGGACTGATAGTGATGAAGTTCTTTCATTCAGAGGAAGGATGCTCATGGACTGAAATACCCTTCTGCAGATGTGAAAATCTGCAAAAGAGCAGAAGTAGAAGTAAGAATACTTCAAGGGAGAGGTGACATTTTTAAAAGGGCAGCATACACTACAATTATAAAAAGATGTTTGAGAGAATTTGTAAATAATTCCGTTTTTTGTAATTTAACTTAATTGGTCAACAAACCATGATGAATCGTAGGATGTATTTGATTAATATTATTTAAATATATTGAAATTAGGTTCAAATATATAGAAAGAGAAAGACTCGAATTTACCAGAAAAATAGAATTAAATCAGTTAATAATAAAATGACTTTATTTAGAGGGTATTAATGTGTGTATTTATTGGTGTTAGTAGTATATATTATGTATTTAGTGTTGGTAGTATGTTAGTGTTTATAGTTTGTATGATTGTATTTGATTTTTATTAGTAAATTCTTTGAAAATTATGTATTTCAGCTGCCGGGTCAAAGACCCCCATTTCGATCAGGTTTTTGGCCAGTTTTCCTGATTCATTGAGCAAATGCTGAGGCGGACCCTTGTTTTGCTTCTGGACGTAAATGTAGCCTCACTATGCGCACGTTTTGTAGAGCACTCCTTTTGCTTGTAGTGGTAGGAGTAAAACCAAGGTTATATTACTGTTGTGTTAGTAATACCAAAAAAATTAAATAAAACCTGCAGTTTGTTTATCGATACAAATAAGTTTTGTATAATGTGTGTGTGTGTGGGGGAGTCTAATGTCTATAATTGAAATGTTGGGAAGAGATTTTTGAGCTCAAGAAAATGTGTGCAGATGGTACTTCTCCTCCTTATGTCACATACAGTATATACTGTTTTTGACTAAATAAATCAAAGTATATATCAAAATAAAAGTTTGGTGTTCCCCCTCCACAAATCCTTGAAATATTTTGATAACTTGCTGTTATATGCCTGATATGGATTATCGATAGCAGAATGTCTTAGCATTAGGTAGTAACAGAAACTTGGATTAATGACTCCCATGGAGTTAATTTATTTTACAATTTTTTTGTATTTATTGTCCTATGTTATAGTACTTGTAAAACAGGTGTAGTGGGGTATGCGGTTGAGTGTGACAAGTTGGGCAAAAATCGGAATTTTCATGTACTTAATTAAATAGAGCAGAATAACTTTTAACTTTTGTGCTATAAGTAGCATTCTTAGGGCTGTGTAATAAATGAGAAAGTAATGCTAGAGTGAAGCATGTTAGATACATATTGAAAGAAATCATTTAGTACGAGACGGGTGTATAGCAGATGTCTCCTCGCTGTCCCAAAGTCACGTGACTCAGGCGCGAGAGATGTTGATATCCGGCCGCGCCTTCTGCACACCCTGGTGCACACTCTAGTATACCTCTACTCTATGAAGTATCAGCTATAAATACTCATTTGCACCAATCAGTTCTTCGCCCAAGTCACAGGACATTGTTCGCACTCAGACTATCATCCCATCCTCCGGGTATCCGTCTCTAAACGCTCTTGCAGAAACTCAATATAAAACTCCCCATCCATGTGAAACAGCCCTGAAATCTTGTTCCCCCTTGGAAGCTTCTCCGGGCTAATATAGACATAAGATTATCATACTTCCCAAAATCCTCAACTCCCCCCAGTACATTCCTGGAGGGATTCCAGGAGACGAAATCCATGTACCCTGGCTATAATGTCATATACATTGATGTTTCCTTCCAGAATGGTAATGTAGGGTGTGCCTTCTTTTACCACAGAGCCATGTGGAGTCTTCAACTTGACTCTTCGTGCAGCGCTTATATTGCAGAAACATATGCGCTCTTAGAGGCACTTACGTTGGCTGAATCGATGACATTAAAAGAAGCTGCAAACTGCAGTTATTCAAAAATCTCTCTCAAATCTATGTGCTGCTTCTCTTCTTGTGACCTCTGACAACAACCACTCAACACCAAATCCATAATTTTCTGGTTCGTTGTAATAATTTTTTGTTGGATCCCATGTCTCGTTGGGATAATAGGGAACAAAATTGCTGACCAAGCAGCAAAGCTCGCCACAAAGAAAACTGAAGTAGACATCCTCATAGATCCAACAAACGATACCAAGCTGTTTATCAAACGTATTCTCAGTGCATGGCAAACAGAGTGACAGAACTCAGATTTTAAACTCACGAGAATCAAGGATTCCATAAAGTCTTGGTCTTCTTCATCTCGTGAGTCAAAGGGCGTAGAGATAATTCTGACACACCTTCGGATTGGTCACTCTCATTTCTCCCACGGACATCTCCGTGGTGGCCCACCCCCTACTTGCAATAGTTGTGAGACGGATCTTGCCGTGAAGCATGTTCTGCACTGTTCTAAGGTAAGAGATAGCCGGCGAAGGCTTTACCTTCCTAACTCTCTACCACAGGTACTTGGAAATGTCAAATCTTCCCTCTGCAAGCTTTTTAGCTCCTTAAGAGCATTATCTGAGAGAAGAGGATTATGCCAATTATTTGGCTTATAATTGGAGATTTTGAAGTGTTTATCAGGCTCTTTTCTGCCAACCCCTTTTTTAAATAACTGAACACATTTATTTTCAGTTTTACCTCGCATTTTACATTTTACCTTGCATTAAAAAATGTTTTAGTCTGGCTACAGTGAGTATTGCTCTTAAAAATAATTTGACACAGGCGCCAGTGCCCTTTGCTGTTAAAGCACCCTTAAACCTTAATCATCATCATCAAACAACGCTGATGTTGATGATTTCTTGAGATAGCATCACAAAGCAATTGTAAAGAATGTACCAGTGGTATTCCTAATCGTATGAGGCATTTGACATGAAATCATTTAACTTAATATGTATTTTCTAACTTTAAAATATGAAGCAAAACTTCTCATGAAAAAATGAAATGTACAAATAGATTATCTACATCTATTTACATATTCATTGTAGCATCTTCCAAGGTAGCAAGCTGGTAAACTTGTGAGATTATTTAAACAGTAAAGGCTTCCTTTGTGTTTTTACCATTTCCCTAATGTGTTTGTTTGACTGTCCAGCAGAGGTGCGAGATGCTTACATTGATGTAACTTGGTGACTTGATGTTGCAAGAGCAAGAGAGGCCTTACGGGAACTATTGGGATTATATTTAGGCCTCTGTTGTTCTCATGGTCTAAATTTAAATTAGAGTATTGGGGGTTTATGCCTCAAAACTATATAAGGAGTATTTTATTAGTATATCATAATAATCACATTCTTTGCTCATAGGTTGTGTAAATATTCAATTAATTTTTTTTCTTATTTACCACAAATCAGTCTTTTTATTTTGAAATGTTTGTGTGTCTTTGTTATCAGATTGGGGTGTACATTCAGTTAACGTATTCTTCACTAACCAAACAAGTTATTTTTACTCCATATTATGTGTTATTGAACTCAGCTTCATTTTCAATTGAAGTTCAAGAAGCTGAGAGGCCAGCTGATCCCTGGATTATAGTAAGTGTGCCTATTCTCTTACAGTGAAGATTGACTAGAAACATAATTTAAAGAAAGGACGTGTCAAAATTCAGAGTGAATAACACACCTCCAGTTGCTAAATTATGTCAGTCAGCAGTGATAATGTGAGATAATGTTTTTAGTATGGAGGCTAATATTTTGAAATGATCTACAATAAATGATCAACAGAGATTGTTTATTACTGAAACATATGCAATCTTTCTGACTATACTGTATCTAGTCTTTCTTTTCTTTTTGTCTTCATTTTTACCTTTCTGTAAAGGGTATACTTGTTGAATAACAAGTTTTTTATCAATGTAGGTTGAACCAAATGGTTGTTCTCCTTTCTGGCCACGAAGCAGTAATACTAAACATCTTCGAGCACGTGTTGCTGGCAGTTCAGAAATGACAGCTTCATTTTCTTACGACACTGTGTATACTACTTTGTTGCGGCTAGATAACAAGGTAAAAATGTAATGTGTCCTTAGCTGTAAATAAGGCAAAATATATGTTAGAGTGTTAAGCTTGTGTGTGTTTTGGGAGCATTGTTCTTCATTAATGTGTTCCTTTTAAACTTTGTTGCAAATTTCAAAAAGTATTTTCTGCTGGGCAAATGTTTATAGTTGTATAAATTGAACCTGCTTCTGTTCCCTTTCAATTGTGAACTGTTTTGTAGTATGGAGGTCTGAATGTGGATGTCCAAATGGCTGAAGGCTCTGTGTATATCTCATTCATGGCTTATGAACCTGGTTTGGCTCCTGCACTAATTATGAACAATCTTGATGTCCCAGTATCTTATCATGAAGAGGATGACAGTACCCCGAAGTGAGGAAAACACAAAATTGTTTTCATTTTGCAGTGCATATATTCTGTGTCACAAAAAAATATTTTTGTGTACTTAAGTTTCATTTAAATGTTGTTCTTCCTTTGTTATAATGTCTATGCAATAGATCCCCATTATAAGAGAACTTGCTTTTAAGAAGCAATGTGTATAAATAATGGATATTTTCTTCTTCTGTATGAGAGACTTGTAGGAATTTCACACCTACAGTAGACAAAAGAATTCCAGAGGAATTTTTTCTTCATGAATAAAAGTCAGAAGTTAAAATCATAAATTTTTCCATGCTGGAGACCAAGTGACTCATGAGGTTTACTCTCAAACACCCTTGACAAAGGCTGCTAAAGATGGAATTTCACTCTGTAAAAACACCCTTCCTGAGAAAACCAGCTACTCTGTGAAATGTGAAAATCTGCTGCCACTTGTCCTGCTTTATGTTTTGTGATGCTTTGATATGCGGCCTCAATTGTTCATTCAAGCTAATGTTCTCATTGTTTTCAGGCAAGTGGAACTGTGAGAGCTCTGCTATATTTGAAAAGTTGTAAGACTTATCATCTTAATGCATTATGTACTTTATACTGAGCTTTTCATCAGCATGGTGAGATTGGCATTGATTGTCTGGTGAATTATTTGGGTCGAAGGCGATTTCTTAATTAAGAGTTTTGCAAGAATTGCAATTTTAACATTTCTTTTATGGAAGTTAACGTCAGTATCACAAAAAATGACATCATATGCTAGGGTGAAAATGGTAAAAATGAGTTAATGTAGGTGAATATATAAGAACTTATATTTAGCATTTTCCAATGACAAGAATTACCTAGAAGTAAAAATCTATCCCAGGTGTCTCTTATAATGAGGTTCTACTGCAGATAAGATTAAGTATGTGCATACAGGTAGATGAAAGTAAATTATCATTAAGAAATTGAGGAGTATACTTCAATTGCGTATTCATTAATTATTCACTGGCCAAGAAATGGTGAAATGAAAATAGACGAATTTTTTAAAATACCTGCAAAAGTTTGTTCTAGGTAAGAGTTTTTAAATTTTAGGAATTTTTTCACTTCTACATAATTAGATGTAGCATTCCTACAAACCCAGAAGTGACCAATTATTTAGAAACTGACTGTGAAAGCCTACATTGTATTTTTATTTATCTTTTTATGATATTATTAAAAGGCACAAAGTGTACCATGTAATTATAATTCTCTCCTCCTTGTGCTCGCCCCCCCCGCCCATTTCTCATTTCTGTTTCTCGCTCTTTATCATTGATATTCAGTGATCTAGTGATTCAATATGGCTTACCTGATGTATGCAATCAAATATATCATTCATTTATCTTTCATGTGCAGGTTCCTAGAGCCAAAGAATGGGGTCATGTTCACATGGACAAATCCATTAGGTACAAAAACTCTTATTTGGGCCAACCACAAGAAGAAGCAGATTTCAGATGATTTACGCAAGGTGAGATTGTTTTAAAATATACTATCTTTTACTTGAAATTATTGTTAATATATATTGTTTATTTTGTATGCATCAGTGTTATGTATGATACATTTATATTAATAAAATTGAAGGTCTGTCTGTGATTCAAAATAACTGTCTTTTCATAAATTAATTTGGTTATTTTCGTTTCTTTTCAATTGATTTTACAATCTTTGTACGTCTGGGCTACTTTGTGGAATGGGCAAAGTGATTTTGAAGAGATTATTCACTTATAGGTTGAGTATTTGGTCAGTCATAATTCAAGCTCCTTTTTTTTTTTTTTTTTTTTTTTTTTTTCAGATAATTATTTTCTAATGTGTTGTAAAGAATAGGGCTTGTTTTTATGTACATCTGCAAATTTATTCCATTGGCTATGAAAATTTTTATATTTTCAAAACAAGAGAAAAGTTACCATCTGCAAGAGATTTTTTCAAAAATTCCATTCCTCTTTGTCCAGCCCCTTAAAACAGAATGTAATTGCATGTTTTTTTAAAATAATTTGCGAATATTTTGAAAATGGTCAGGAAATCTACTTAAGTGAATAGGAATTTTGTAAAAGCTCATAAAATTTACTTCTAAAATACATTTGTCTGTGAATAACTGAAAATAAAAACTGTGAATGAACTCCAATGAAGAGGGGCAAAATCAGCTGCACAGAGTGTATGGGAGGTACCAGGAGAGTGGAGCCAAGCAGGGGAAGTGAGATGGAGAGGAATAGGGTATTTTAATTTGCTAATTTTTATTATCATTCTTTAAACATTAATATATTTCCTTTCTGAGCAAACAATACCTTATTCAATATTTCAAATGTGACATAAATTGTCAATTGTCATATTTAATCTGTCAGCTGATTATTAAGAGAAAGAAGATATTTTTAAAAGGAATTAAAATTTAAGTAAAACATTTTATTAAAACCTTTCTGACTATTCTTATGTTGATAAAGAAATGGTCATCCAATATTGAGTAGAGTTACAAAATATGTTTCATCACTTAGTTCAACATATTTCTGTAAACTGCAGCAACACAGGTAATTGTTACATTGGCAAGGGCAGTATCGTGGACTATATTGATTTGAACCTGTTTGTCTTGAATGAATGGGGAACTTTTCAGGACTGGTATTCTTATTAGTCATATTTATGGTTCCTCTGACTAATTTCAGAGGTGCTGAGACAGCACTTAAAAAATGTCAGACATTTCTTACAGAATACCAGTTTCATCCAGTTCTGACTTCAATCCCTAATGCCAACAGCCATTTGAACTACACATTATTCCTTAAAGCCCTTTGGTGGGAAAGCTCTCTAATAATATCAAGGTGAATTCCACCATTCTCTTTGAAATAATGACCTCAAAAGCAGTAACTGTAGCAATAGCAGTGTCTATTGTTGGAAGTACACTGATACTTTCCACCCTCAAAACTTGTTGAGAAATGCCAGGAAATTGCTTATATCAGGATTGTAATACAAACTAGCCCAAATTCCCTTAGCTGTTACTTGAAAATATTTCACTAATAGAAATCTCATTCATTAGATGCTTAATTGGTATCAACTGACAGCAACCTTTTTAAACCCTTTTATGCAGGCAGCATTTATATTTAATAGTTGCTGGCAGAGACGAATAGCTCAATTGTGAAAACTGGGGCCTTTGCTTCATCTTTTATTGAGTTAATGAAAGATAAACAAATGAATACAACATTTTACTTACTTTATACTACCATTTAGGAGGAAGACTGATTAAATTTATTACTGTATGTATAATTCATTGAAATAAATTTTGAGAAAGAATTTTGAATGTATGTTTTTAGAGCGTTCTTCACAAGAGAAGTAAAACATTTATACAGTCAATTACAGAGGAAAGAAATGTTAGCTCTTCTGAAAGTCAGCGTGATGACGACAAATATGATGGTGGTGATGATGGTGGTAGTGGTGATGCTGGTGACTGTGTAATTAATGATGATGATTGTGAGGGAGTTAATATAAAAACCATCAAATCTAAATTGGAAAAGCCATGGGAGAAAAAAAAGAGCTTAACAGAAAAAGCTCCCCTGGTATTTACAGAACTTTTGTCTCTCTATCTTTGCTTCTTTCTAATGACCATCAATTTCTTAACTGTTATTTTGAAAGCTGCCCATTCTATCACAAAATTTATGTAGAAATAGCTATAATTGAAATATATTGCTCATTAAAAATCATTGCTTTGATACTTTTGTGTAAATGTATTCAAGTGGTAGAAAATATTTTTCCAACAAGTGAAGTAGTACAACATTTTTATTATAATGTTAATGAACAGATTTAAACTAACATTATTTCATTTTGCATTCATTCATTGCTAAAACAATTAATCAGGAAATTAAAGTACTCTCTGTGCATTTTTTCTTTTGAAATTTCAGAAAACAAATTTTGAAAAACGTCAAGCAAATTCTTATAGGTTGTTTTGCAGAGAGGAATTCAATAAATATTCAGTAGAGTTCATTTAGTACTCCAGCACCCTACATTGCACTTTGCATCATTGGTTTGAAAGTGAATATTAAACTGAAGAACAATCAGGGAACTGAACTCTGTCGACCTTCATACATTTTATTCTGTTTGAGATAGTGGGTTAAATTCTGGGGAAACAGATCCTATTATTCCTGGCCTTTTATATTACAGAAAATAATTCTACGAATAATAAGCAAATCCCATTCACAAGCACAAAATTCATCTTGCATAATATTCTGGGGAAACACATTCTGAAGTATCCTACCCAGACTTTTACATTGAAAATCTAAACTTTTAGATAGAAAAAAATTGTTTGAATAAGAAGTAAAAGCTGCAAGCCTCTACTGAGCTTGGAATCCTATCATTGCCTTGCCTCTTCATTTATGAATCGGTAATTTTGGCCGCCTGGTGTACTCAAGGAAGGGAACTTATTTTCATTGAACACAGATCTCTCTATTTTTAACTCGCAACATGCATTGGAATCATGTCCAACAAGTTTTAGTAACAGCAACAGCAGTTCACTATCAAAATCCACACATAATACATGTTTTATAACACATTGCCAGATGACTTTAAATAATTGAACTTTATTCACAAATTAAAATACGAAGTAAAATCTTTTCTGATGATTTATAGTTTTTTGACATTTAGAGACTGTTCAGAGCATTGAAAATTAAAATGAAGTGAGGTACTCTAAAATACTAAATAGGCCTATGCTTGTAATACATTTTGTGTATTAGCTTCTATCAATGTTTCTTATATTGGATCATGTTTTTTGCCCAGTTTCATTTGATACATTGAGCCAAGTGGTGAGAATGCTTTGATTCTGGACAGTAAATGTTGCTTCACTTCACGAGCACGTTTTTAAAGAGATATTTGGGGTATTAATGAGGAGTTTAGTTATTTTTCAGCAATATCATCAAATAATAGTCCTCATGTAGTCACAGTAAGGGATGATAAAAAACTCTTCTCATTTTCTGATGCAGACGGTTTCTATTACGTGTGAGTGAACATTTCTTGTTTTCAAATTTAGCTAAAAATCCTTGTTGCTGCCTTTACTCATAATTGAACTAAGTACAGCAAAGGCAAGTGAAGTGGGGCTTTTTTACTGGTAAATAAATAAATAAAATAAATGTATTGGATGAATTATGTATGTGGATAATGTTCTAATTTTTATAAGATGTAATTAAAATACAGAATGATCTAGATTTTGATATACTGTATGTTTCTGATACTTCATGCTAAAGAACATACACAAAATATAAACTCTTGGTCCCTACTAGAGTCCTGGAAACCAGATTGTAAGGACCTTGCATTGTGCATTGTTTCCGAGTAATGCATGGTAGAACAGAGCAATGAGTGGTCAATTGCATTCTTGTTTCCTTATTCACAGCATAATATATGAAATTAAGTATTTCATTTTAAGTTGAATTGATCCCAAGGGAGTAATTTTCCATTCAACGGAAGCACATTTATGGTTTTGTCTCAATGAATTCTCATAAATCATGCAAAACATTATTATGTTATTTACAGAGAAAATATAAATGATTTTCTTATTATTCTATTTTGCAATTTGGCTGTATTGAGTTTTTGAATGCATTTAAATTTTTAGTGAAATCATAAATAAATAAAACATCTAATCCAGTTAATTTATTTCCCAATATATTACAATGTTCTTTTTCTGAAATTTTCTATTACATTGAACTATATGTTTTTGTCTTGAACAAGCATATTTTCCTAAAAAAATTACAAGTTTTGAGAGTTTAAGAATACGCTGCATAAATCGTGCCCTCATTCATAACATATGCCATGCTTTACAATCACTGGTCACACTTTTTCTCAATAAAAATGAAATCAGAAAATTAATATTTTATATTACATTAACCTGTAGATGAAGTTAACATTTCATGTTGCTTTATGTTGACACATATAGTAATTCAATTTGTTTTGGAAATAAAAAATATAAAATTAGTGTGTTCAAAAAGGGAAAAAATTATCCCTTTTTTATTTTTAAAATTGTAGATATTTTATTTTGAGTTTTGAGAATTTTTTGTTTTTTTCTATTTTTCATTGTTTGTGATCATTTTCTTAATTTGTAAGTTGTTATTTGCTTGCTTGATTTTGTAACTTCTCATATTTTGTAAGCATTTGTTGTATTCTTCCAATTAATTATTTTGTAACAGATATATTTTGAGCGTATAAAGAGTATTAAATGTGCGTATCTTAAACTGCTAATAGCCCAATGACTTCTTAATCTAGTAGCTAAGTATATTTTGAGTGTGGCTAGTAGCTATCAGGTATTATTCTAGACCAGAAGTGAGGAACCTGCCACTTTTAGAACGTGATGTGCTTCATCAACAAGTTTTTATATTGTTGTGTTGCTTACTATATGAAAATGGAAGAGAGAGAATAGTAACGCTAAATTAATTTCTGTGATGAACTTTTCTGGCTTATTTTGTTTCTTGAAGTGACTGCTAAGAGATTTAACGTGTGTATGATAATGGCTCAGCTTTGTTTCAGAATGCAGATTCTGATGCAATTTGATGACATTTCTGATTTGACAATTCTGATGAAGCCAAAGCAGAACCATACTGAAGTGGAACAATAAAGACAAAAGGAAGAATTCATTTACCTCCTAAACACCAGTGCATGATGAGTTGCCAATCAATCAGTGGCATGATGTCCGAAATATGATTTGTGCAATTTTGTCATGATAGATTTTCCACCATGTTCTTGAGCAGAAAGTAATCACCTTCAACCCTCCTAAATTCCGTAGAAATTTTTAAACATTGTTCTGTACCACTCTGTGTGCACATATGTACATGTGTTTACACTGTGATACACAGGTACAGAGAGAGAGTGATGTGACATTGATGAACGTGAGAACTACTTTTTCTTGTAGCTATTCTTCAAGCTATTGTTTGGCTTCAGTATCATGGTTGCTTTCTTAATCCCCATATAAAATTTATATTAGTATTAAATTAGTGGCTTAGAGCTGATTAAAAAATAACAAAATGGTTTTCCAAAATGTGGCACACTTGCTACTCAAGAATGAATTAGAAATAAAACGCTCTCCTACAACACTGCAATAAATTAAATGTGTTAACTAAAAAATTTTCATGAATATTGCAATAACATATTATAGTATATATGCAGTAAAACAGTGTTTTGCATACCAAGATATAAACAAAGTTGCTATTCCAAAATGCAACACTCGAGTAGCAAATATTTAATGGCAGGTGGGCTGTTCCTTGGAGCCTTTCTGTTGAATGAAACAAGCTGTAAGTGGTGCACTGAGTATGATAACTCAGTCAATGGGCCAGTATGAGAATAGACATTATAACAATCAAATATTGGCATTCTTTAGTTAAAATTAAAAGTTCCATTGTTTTTGAATTTTTCCTGAGTTCCTGGCTATTTAATGAAAACATAGAAAGCCCTCTCATGGCCAGACACTGCTCAATTTTCTTTCAATTTGAATGCACATTGGAAATTAGTAGCATAGAACACTTGTTTGCATTTTGCAGGTTTTTATTCTTTTATATTACTTATATATTAATTCATTCATTCTATTCAGTGTAGTCATCTTAATCTTGCTTGATGCCTTAAAATGAGGACAAGTTCCCCACTTCTGCACTAGGACCCTGACAAGATATTACAATAATAATATTTTCTACGTTAAATTGGAATGTTACACAATCTTGACTTTCTGGTACAGAATTCTTCAGTTCAATAAAAATAAACAAAAGAACTGTGAATTTTTAATAGAAAACAGTTTTTATTACTAAATTATTTATAAAAATTAATAACAATAACAATTATCTTCTTTAGGAAAAACACAAGAACCATTGGGAAAAAAATTATGGCTTCTGACGAGACATTAATATTGCATTATTTCTTGATTTCAGAGGTCATTCACTTTGTTTTAATATTTCCAGCAATTTACGCGTACAAAAAGACCTATAATTTTTCTGTCTTGGTGGAAGAGGAGAGCAGATGACCTTCGTAAGGTGAGGCCTCGCTTTGAAAGAGACTGTCCATCAATAATACAATGTCTTTTACATTCTCCTAATGAAATCAACCTTTTTGCAAATTGTGAGAATTGTGAGAATCATAATATATTTAATGTTTGTTTAAGCTATACAATTTCATATGCCTGAATAAGAACCATTTCTCTCATCAAGAACTTAAATTGAAATATAATGTTTTCTATATTCAGCATCTTAAAACTCATTGGTGTAAGAAAAAGTAAGAACATTTTATTAAAACATTTACAGAAAATTGAATAGAAGAAATTCATCAAGATTTTGAAAAACATGATACTCATAGTTTGTTGAAGTCATTGGATCATAAGCATAATCCCTAGCTTGTATTTGAAGGGACAAAGAGTAAAAGATACATACCTCAAAATTGAAGTTTTGATGATACTACTACAATATATGGCTCATAAGGTGGCCCCCCTGTTGTCATTTTTATATAACACTTAAACCCAAAGATTTACTTGATTGTAAATGTAAAGTGTTTCCATGTGTGGTATTAAGTTTTATACTAGAATTGAATATTGGACATTTTCAAAAATTCAGTGGATTTTTTTTTACAAGAGTTAGAAAATAATAATATATTTTTTAATGTTTCGATGCAAGCAATTATTTTCCTAGTTTTTAGGTAATTAACCTGATTCCCAAATTTCCCTTCTTCCAGAATACATTGTTTAATTTTTGGACAGCCTGTGAAGTATTGGCATTACCTTAGTAAGTTCATAACATTTCATTTACACAGTAATAAACAAGAACATGTTTTAAGATTGTTTTAGTTCATGATATTCAACTGAATTAATTAGCCTCCACCAGTGATTTTTTTCTATAGAAGTTGTGTGGACAACTGGTTCGTATTTAGCATGTGGAAAAGAAACAAATTATAAAAAAGAAGAAGATGGAAAAGAAGGAAGCGAATAAGAGTAAGATGGAGAGAAATAAACTATTAAAAAAAAAGAAATGAATTAAAATGATGAATAAAATTGTTATTTTTTGAATCAAGAATGTTCTTGTACTGATCTAACAGATTAAAAAATAGATCTTCTGCAGCTTAGGGCCAGTTTGACTTAATATCATATGTAACACAAAGAATTCTTGCTCTTTGTGATCTCATGTCAGTATGATTGTGAACATGAATTATCCAGTATTAACATTTAGAAATTGAACGTCTCTGTTTGATATATCATTTTCTTACACTTTGTTCTATATTTGTTAGCTGGAGATGGCATTTATATTCATTTGTTTGTTTTTTTTACTTATACAATTGTCCAAATGGGTCAGTTCTGGAGGTCAGGAGAACCTGCTCTGTAATGAATTTATAAATCGTGGTGGTTTTTAAACTGGGTCAATTTCCCCCCTAATGAATTTATTCCTATTTGATCTCACACAGGATGGAATTGGAGAATTTGCACCTGCTGTTGATAAAAGAGCTTACTGGGTAAGCTTCTTGGATGGCATGCAGCGTATTCTGCTGTTTACTTACGACTTAAATGTTGCTCGTGATGCTCAATCAGCTGGAGAAATGGAACGGATTGATCAGGAAATCACACTAGCTATTCATGGAGTTGGATTGTCTCTTGTAAATAATTACAGTGGTCTAGAAAATTTGTACTGCTGCCTTGCTAGGTCAGTGCCATTTACTTGAAACATTCTTTGTATTAATTGTCTGTTTACCAACAACTGTTTTTAACTTGCAGCTCTGGTGTCATATGGGAAATGTGTAAACTTAATCAGAAAAGATTTAAGCCTTTAAATGTCATGGATACTCGACTTGTGGAAGAAGCTTATGTTCGTTATCAACAAGATCTTGTTCTTGGAGAAATTCCAACTGTTCAAACGTTAGAAAATGGAATGGAGGTTAGTTGTTAGTTATTGACTACAAATACAAGGGTAGGGGTTAGTGAAAGAGCTTTCATGATGAGGTGGCAAGACTCCATAATAAGTCACCATTAAGGCTCTTACTTGTAGCTTTTTAGATGCACACACACACACGTGTGTGTGTGTGTGTGCGTGTGTGTGTGTTTTTACGGGGGCAGGGGAAAATCTTCTAAAGACACTGCGGGGCCCGCAACCCGCAGCGTGT